ATGAGAAAATCACACCGTCGGATGTGTGCTTGACACGAGTGAGAAAATTTTTTTTAAATATATTTATGTGTTTAAATTTTTTTAAAATGTACTTAAATTTTAATGTATTAAAAATTCATTTTAATGCATTAAATTTATTAAGTTTTTAAGTTCAAATATAATTTATTAGGTTAAAATTTTTAAATTTGTTAATTTTTAGATGCTTTTATGAAATTAAATGTATTAAATTTTTTAATATATTAATGTGTTTAGTTTTTTTTGACGTATTGTATTTAATGCATTTTTATTGTATTAAATGTATTTAAGTTTCTTTGAAGAAAAATCCAAAAATGTGTTTTTTGATTCAAAAAAAAATTTAATTTAAACTTGATTTTAGTAAATTAGACCTAATAAAAGCTAGCATATCGCCCGGACAAGCAGCGTGAAGAACCCGTGTTAGCGATGTTGCTTTTTTTTATATACCAAAACAGCTAAGCCAGGTTTTTCGATCGTGAGTTGCATGCATAAATCCAGTTAGTACCCACTGCTTGTTCGATGTACGTGCATCATTTTTTCAGTGGACAACCTTATGTCCGTTTGTTTTTTTTTGAGCGGAAACAATTAAAGCCTCTTAAAAATTAATGGAGTTTTTGAACAATAATTTTTAAGTCGGAATTGAGGCATTAAAACTTTTAGTAATTAAATTTAGCACCGAAATAACATTTGTATTTATTGGAATTGAAGTTAAAACGGAGTTAGTTTTGCAATAATTCAAAGACTGCTTAATTTTCTGGCAAATTCGTATAACTTTAATTAATAATAGTGCAACAGTACAAACTGTAAAATATTCAATTTCCTATTTAAGTATTCAATTTCCTGATTACTAGGCGGTGATAGTAATCACAAAAAATCTATTTATCAGGCAGATAATATGTAAATGCTTTGCATTCATTTGAAAACAAAAAAAAAAATACAGTACAGGATTAATATCCTAATTTACAATATTTTCTGAATGAAAGGCCACCGGGCAAGAGAATACTATCAGTAAAGTTCATCACAGAATGAGCACGGGCAACCCTTCTAGGCATACCCAAATTCATACCCAAATTACCAAATTTATGCCCAAATTTTTATAATTCGGGTTCTAAAAACTTGAAGAACTTTTTGTTGTATTAATTGATCACTTTTGTGCAGTAAATAAATTAATAAATGAATTCCTTAGTAGTTTGGTATTGTTATTAAAATTAATCCTTAGTAGTTTGTTTTTGTTTTATTAGTTCACTTTAGTAACTCTTTTTTTAGTAATTCATTTTAGTAATTTTAGTAATACATTTTTAGTAATTTTAATAATTCATTTTAGCAATTTAGTAATTCATTCTAGTAGTTTCACGAATTCATTTTTAGAAAATTTCACTAATCCATTTTAGTAACTTTAGTAATTCATCTTAATAATTTTAATAATTCATTTTTGGTAATTTCGGTAATTCATTTTAGCAATTTTAGTAGTTTGTCCCAGTAATTTTAATAATACATTTTAGTAATTTTGTTAATTCACTTTAGTAATTCATTTTAGTAATTTTAGTGATTCATTTCAGTAATTTTAGCAATCTATTTTAGTAATTCATTTTACAATAACTTTTAGTTTTTCTCTACTAGACCTATAATTAACAATATTTCAGATTGTAAGACATGGTTTTCCGGATGATCCACGATGCATGGCATATGATGCAGTGCAGCGTTTGCTTGCTGTTGGCACTGGGCATGGGGTGGTGAGGATTGTCGGTGATGTTGGAGTGGATTATTGCCTGAAACATGAATCAGATGCAGCTGTACTTCACATACAATTCCTCATGAATGAGGTTTTATCCCTTTCTTTACCCCTGAATTTTTTCCGATTCCAAAATGGACAATATATTTGGGAACAGTTGAAACGTATCACTTCCAGATATGTCTGATTTCCAACGATTTTTATCAATATGCAAAAAAATATCAAAAGTTGGTACCCCTTCCGTATTTATTCTCTATAAAAAGCAGCGACACTTATAATGTAGTCAAGATATATGCCAGCGGCAATCATTCACTGGCAAGGCTGTCAATGACTCCCTGTTTCGATGGTTGAATAAAAACAAGTTAACTGCGAGCAGTAACAGCAATAATAATTAAGATAATATTAATGATGATACTGATATTAATTGCAGATAATATGATGGCGGTAATGGTGATAATAATGACGATAGTAAGAGTAATACTTGCCTTGATAAATGAATTATTACAGTTGTTATTACTATTATTATTATTATCGTTATTATTGTCATTGTTATTGTCATCATTATTATTATTGTTACTGCTATTATCATTATTATTGTCACTATTATTATTATTGTTATTATTATTATTGTTATTGTTATTGTCATCATTATTATTATTGTTGCTACTATTATCATTGTTATTATTGCCATTATTATTATTGTTGTTGTTATCATCATTGTTATTATTTATTTATTTATTTATTATTATTATTTTTATGATAGTTATCATTATCATTGTTATTATTATCATCAACATTATTATTGTTATTGCCGTCATTAGTAATGAGCGATGATAAAACAGTAAATGATGGCAACAGCAATCACAATAGTAATAATGTTTATAACTGTAATAACATCACTGGTGACATTTTTAACAGCACTGATTATGACGCTAATAAATTCCGTCAGAAAACTTTAAAAAATTTGTTTTTTCGGTGGCAAGAAAATCACTGTATGGATTTTCAGGGAGCACTGGTTACAGCATGCCGCGATGATCTAATACATTTGTGGAATTTCCGTCAAAAGGTACCAGGCATTTGTTGCTTTTCTCTTTATTTTTTAAAGCGGTGGGGCGGGGAAGATTTAAATATAATGCAGTTTTGTGAGAAATAGGAATTATAATTATTTTTATTTGTTTTATGCACTTTTAACTTTTGAATTTTCTAAAATTTTGGTTTTTATGTACCAAAAACTTTGTTTTTTTTTTTTTACTTTTTGATATTATTTTATCGAAAAGCTCATTCATTTGTTATGTTTGTGTTGCATATTTGCACAAATTTCGTTTTTTTTTATGTTTTTGTTTTCCATAACATCTCATATTCACTTATGATGTTTACATTTTGCAGGTTCCTGAAGTGTTGCACAGTATTCAGCTAACCAAGGAGCAAGTTACGTGTATCAATCATCCATTCCAGAGTAAATGGCTTTATTTGGGCACTGAACGGGGTAATATATATTTTGTTAGTGTTGCAACATTCACGTTATCTACGTACGTTATCAATTGGAATAAAGCTATTGACTTGTAAGTTTTGCTCAATAACTAAGTTTGATTTTGATTCGATTCGAACATTTTGATTCAAAAATTTCAAAACAAAAAAATTTTCCATTTTTATATTTACCTGACACAAATACGGGTTTTGGCGTGTGGCAACATCCTGGTAACATCACTAACATGAGATAACAACTACGCTGATTATTGGCGGATCCAACGGAAGGGCGATGGGTGTTTCGCTCCCCGCGTCTCCCTCTTTCAGGGACACAGGTAGCAGTTGTTTTACTATAGAAAACTCTCTTCGATACCTCCTTTCGTCTCCCAGGAGTTCCACCTTCTTCCTCCCCCTTCTTCTGTTTCCGATCTTCGCTGCGGTTTATTGCCTACCAGCGTGGGAGGGAGGAGAGATAGCGAAACGTCTGACATACCGACGACGGGGAAGGGAGGGGAGAGAGGGGGGAATCA